AGGGTTCACCACGGCAAGTTCAATCTTGTCCGAGTCTGGAAACAGGACAGCAGAAAGTGTCACTTCAATATATCCATGACAACCTCAAAGATCCCACAATCCATATTCATTCAATACATTCACACTTATTCATCCTTCAAAAAGCAATATGGAGCTCGTATCTACTGAGCTACAAGGTACTTGTGGGACAGAAGATGCAGGGATGCCAATCCACAGCCCATTTGATATATCTGGGACAACTGGCATCGAGTGAGCGAGTGAGTTTAATGCCCCTTTTAGCAATATTCCAGCAATATCACGGCTTGGGACCCCAGAAATGGACTTCACACATTGTACCCATGTGGGGAATTGAACCTGGGTCTTCTGTGTTATGAGAAGATGCTTTAACCGCTAGACTACCCCACTGCCCCTATCTGGCATCGAATATAAGTAATCTAAATTGACAATTAGTAATAGTCATTCGTAATGTCTAACATGTTTGGATAAACATGATAAATGGAAGTTATTGATAGCAATATATTTCACCATTTGAACTCCTCAAAATCTGTGAACTATCCCATCCCATGGTAAAGTGATTATTTGTCGACTATGGACAAGTTGTGTATATATGATAATGACTGAAGTGAAGTCAACAGTTAGTTGAATTACAGGTCATGTTGTTTGGACAAAACTTTTAAAAACTGACAATCACATTGCAACAGGAACATTTCACTCGGACCTAGTTTAAACTATTGGAATCATTCTGCCAAAATCACAATCGCTTCTTTCTCTAAATAGTGAGTGAGTTTAGTTTTACGCCGCACTCAGCAATAATCCAGCTATATGGTGGCGGTCTGTAAATAATCGAGTCTGGACCAGACAAGACAGTGATCAACAGCATGAGCATCGATCTGCGCAATTGGGAAACGATGTCATGTGTCAACCAAGTCAGCGAGACTGACCACCCAATCCTGTTAGTCGCCTCTCACGACAAGCATGGGTTACTGAAGGCTCATTCTAACCCAGACCTTCGTATCTCTAATTAAGGTGCTGGGAGATAAACAACATTTATTTCATTGGCAGTACTAGGGGGCAAATGATATGTGATTCCTTAACTCTCACAAACCTGTAGGGGTGGGTATTGCAGAGAATTTTCATATTGCGATATATTGCGATGCGAAAGCTTATATTGCGATATGTATTGCAATATATTGCAAGAAGGTTTTTTTAACAATAAACTACTACTGATCAAGTTAATGTTTTACTTATAAAGCAAAAACGCAACACAATCACTATGCTTCATTAAGCTATAATAAAAAACTTTTAATCATGACAAAATAAGAATATAGATAATATTTAATGTAATTTTCACCACATTCATTCCCACCACCATTACCACAATTGCCACAATCATCAAGGTTTCCGAGTGTTAAGAAGTTTTCCGAATACAAGTCAAAATATTGGTTTTCTATCAGCGTATCGCAATTGAATCGTTTTCATGTCTGATTCGGTTAATACGGGTAAACCGGTTATATTGCGCAGCCCTACAAACCTGGCAACTCTTTAACGAAGTCCCAAGCAGCTTTCTCTGCCAGCGTCTTGCTCTTGGCATAGGCATCCAGCTTCTCCAGGTCAGTCCAGTCCTCTTCTGTGCATACCTTGTCAGCATTGGCTGATGGTCCCCCTGTCAACACACAATCTTTGTTATCAGAGCAATGCTACAGTTATCAGAAGTCTGACTGGTGATAGATGCGTCTTGGAATTCAGCTGTAGTGTAAAAGTTATTTCAATAATGCTCGAATGAGACCAATGAGTAAACCGATAAGTAACCACGCTAATAAACTTATGTTTGTACAGAAATTGAGACCTACAAAAAAAGCTGGCTGCTGTAATTTACATTGCCTAAAAATATTTTGGAAATGAGAACACAATGTTTGATGATACTTTGATGATTATCTTACAGGAAATAGCAGCACAAGAACTTGTGAGGACCACCCTTTTGACAGTTTTGGTGGTGACACAAGCTTTCAGCACACTCTGTGTCCCATCAACTGCTGGCTGGATAACTTCGTTCTCATCCTTGGGACTCTGGGCAGGGAAGGGGCTTGCCACATGAATCACAAACTCAGCATCCTTGACAGCCCTGGAAGCATGAACACATTATACAGTTTCAGCAAATACACAAAACCATTGACAACATGTTCTATATTCGATTCATTTATCCACATCCCATACTGTTAATCTTCTGTCGGCAGAGTTAGTGAGGCAGTGTTAAGTCCAATCATTATTTATCAAGGGTGAAGTTCATTTAAAAACACTGCAAAACTGACGACTTTCATCTGTCTGAAGTAAGAACTGTATTAAAAGTATGTTAAATGTTTCAGCTAGTTTTGCAAACACAGACCTTCCCTCTTGCTGACTGGCTTATGCTGCCAATCATATTGATTTAGCTCACCATGTATCATTGTATTACTGTGCTGCCCATTCTAAAAGCTACAAAAACCTGAGCACTGTTAAATGTTTAATGCCACTTACGCCTCCCATGACTCTGGTTTGGTTAGGTCAGCCTCGACAAGTTCCAGTTTGTGTGCAGCCTCTGGACACAGGTCCTGAAGGTGCTTCACCTTGTTCTCATCCTGCAAGCTCCTCACAGTGCCCCTTACTCGGTACCCACCTTCTTGCAGCTGCTTTACCACATGTGTTGCAATGTAGCCTGAGGCGCCGGTGACCACCACCACTGTAGAGGAAAAATATATGTTTTAATGCGGTAGCCTACTCACAAAAATGGTGTCCAACAAACTATCAATGCTGAGGGATTATTTCACCCATGCTTAAATGGTATCATTCTTTTTTTGGGGGGACAACAAAATATCTTTGTACATGTAAGTTGTTTTTTAGTTAGACTCACAAGACATCTGATGACCTTCTTAGACTTAACCCGTTTACTTTCAGATGCCACTGCATATCCAAGTTAAAATCTCTATCTGTTCCATAAAACTGCTGCTCTGCAGCTATTCCTGTTGCATGGCTACCAGAAAATCAATACTCTAACAGATCTTGTTTCTGTGTTTCAAACAGCTGTGATGTTTCTGTCCAGAAATCTCACAGTATCGACAATGTCATTTCTGGCTGAGGAAGCAGCAGCGTCACAACACAGCAGCATGTGAGACACCAGGAGAGATACAATACATCTCATCTTCACAACACCGTAGTATGTGAAACACAATCATAGCTGCAATACATCTAGATCTTCATGACACCGTAGTATGTGAGACACCAACATAGCTGCAATACATCTAGATCTTCATGACACTGTAGTAGATCTTCATGACACTGTAGTATATGAGACACCAACATAGCTGCAATACATCTAGATCTTCATGACACTGTAGTATGTGAGACACCAACATAGCTGCAATACATCTAGATCTTCATGACACTGTAGTATGTGAGACACCAACATAGCTGCAATACATCTAGATCTTCATGACACTGTAGTATGTGAGACACCAACATAGCTGCAATACATCTAGATCTTCATGACACTGTAGTATGTGAGACACCAACATAGCTGCAATACATCTAGATCTTCATGACACTGTAGTATGTGAGACACCAACATAGCTGCAATACATCTAGATCTTCATGACACTGTAGTATGTGAGACACCAACATAGACATCTCATCTTCACAACACCGTAGTATGTGAAACACAATCATAGCTGCAATACATCTAGATCTTCATGACACTGTAGTATGTGAGACACCAACATAGCTGCAATACATCTCATCTTCACAACACCGTAGTATGTGAAACACAATCATAGCTGCAATACATCTAGATCTTCATGACACCGTAGTATGTGAGACACCAACACAGCTGCAATACATCTAGATCTTCATGACACTGTAGTATATGAGACACCAGGAGAGATACAATACATCTCATCTTAACAACACCGTAGTATGTGAAACAAAATCATAGCTGCAATACATCTAGATCTTCATGACACCGTAGTATGTGAGACACCAACACAGCTGCAATACATCTAGATCTTCATGACACTGTAGTATGTGAGACACCAACATAGCTGCAATACATCTAGATCTTCATGACACTGTAGTATGTGAGACACCAACATAGCTGCAATACATCTAGATCTTCATGACACTGTAGTATGTGAGACACCAACATAGCTGCAATACATCTAGATCTTCATGACACTGTAGTATGTGAGACACCAACACAGCTGCAATACATCTAGATCTTCATGACACTGTAGTATGTGAAACACCAACATAGCTGCAATACATCTAGATCTTCATGACACTGTAGTATGTGAAACACCAACATAACTGCAATGCATCTACATCTTCATGACACTGTAGTATGTGAGACACACACATAGCAGCAATACATCTAGATCTTCATGACACTGCCATATTTGAAGCACCAACATAGCTGCAATGCATCTAGATCTTCATCACACTGTTGTATGTGAGACACCAACATAGCTGCAATACATCTAGATCTTCATGACACTGTAGTATGTGAAACACCAACATAGCTGCAATGCATCTAGATCTTCATGACACTGTAGTATGTGAAACACCAACATAGCTGCAATGCATATAAATCTTCATGACACTGCTGTAGTATGTGAGACACACACATAGCTGCAATACATCTAGATCTTCATGACACTGCCACATTTGAGACACCAACATAGCTGCAATACATCTAGATCTTCACAACACTGTAGTATGTGAGACACCAACATAGCTGCAATACATCTAGATCTTCATGACACTGTAGTATGTGAGACACCAACATAGCTGCAATACATCTAGATCTTCATGACACTGTAGTATGTGAGACACCAACACAGCTGCAATACATCTAGATCTTCATGATACTGTAGTATGTGAGACACCAACATAGCTGCAATACATCTAGATCTTCACAACACTGTAGTATGTGAGACACCAACATAGCAGCAATACATCTAGATCTCTGTTGAATGTATGCTTTTACCCACAAGCTGCTGTTGGATGTATGTTACTACCACAAGTTGCTGCTGGATGTATGCTGCTACCACAAGTTGCTGCTGGATGTATGCTACCACAAGCTGCTACTGGATGTATGCTACAACCACAAGTTGCTGCTGGATGTATGCTGCTACCACAAGCTGCTGTTGGATGTATGCTGCTACCACAAGTTGCTGCTGGATGTATGCTGCTACCACAAGCTGCTGTTGGATGTATGCTGCTACCACAAGCTGCTGCTGGATGTATTCAACTACCCACAAACAGTTGTCAGATGTATGCTGCTACCACAAGCTGCTGTTGGATGTATGCTGCTACCACAAGCTGCTTCTAGATGTATGTTACTATCACAAGCTGCTGCTGGATGTATGCTACTACCACAAGCTGCTGTTGGATGTATGTTACTACCACAAGCTCGCACTGCATGTTGCAAGTACTTTGGTGTGGGAACAGACTAGACTAAAGTATGTGAACTGTGTAATGTGAACTAAATATTTCACTACTTGACTTTACCATGTATATCTTGAGGCATCGAATGAAAACCAAGCTGACGCTTTTATCACAAGGGGCTGTCAGGGCCTAGTATTGTGTGCAGGGTTTATCTTCCTTATTAGACACTGCCAGATGCAAGTGTTTTCTTTCCTGTGCAGGATTGGCCCTGATTGTGAAGGAACTAGCTACTTGTGCTTATTGTCTAATGCCAATTACTAACTTGCTGAAAAAAAATATAAAAATTATTGCTCAATTACTTAGCCATACAATCACACATTTGGCAGCAGTACATCTGTAAAGGATGCTGACTAAACCCTACAATCATGTAGTTTCCTTGGGTCTCTTGGAAAAGTCTGTAAAAAAGCATGGTTCCATTAACCTGACCGACCTTGCCAGTCTGACGCAGACCATCATAATTTCATTGACCTTTCGGAATTCTAGACATGGGAAATGCTATATCTTACTAGCCATACTAAGCCAATACCTAAAATGTCCACACCACTGAAGATGATGCTATCTGATCTTAACAAATAATTATCAAGAAAAAAGAAATTATTAAGAGAAATGAATCTGTTTAGTTGAATATTCCATATATCTCTTTAAGTAGTATTATATCATGGATTTATCAAGATGTGCCCAGTGGCCAATAATTTGCCTCAGGAGTGAAGTCAGTGACAATTCCAAAAATTAAACTTAACATTTGCGAAGTCATGTTATTATTGTAAAAACTGGTACAAGATACACATAGCACATAGCATTGATACTTAGCTAAGTGATTTGTGAGTTGACTGTTACACCATATTTTGGCAAATAATTCCAGCAATACCAGATCAGGGTTCGTCAAGATTTGGATTGTTCATTGTTGAAGGTACACACAATCATTTGCCAACCATAGGGTTACCCTCAACTTCCATGAAGGGATCTAGTACAAGATTTCACTGATTTGTCAGGCCTTCAGAGAAATGTTTGGAACAGCGCTGGAATACGCTAGTACATCGGTGAGTTTCCTCCGTTTTCTTCCACCTTAACAGAATTGAAACCGTTTGAAATAAAAGCCAGTATTGATAAAAAACACAGCCTAATTATCATAGGACATACCTAGGAAAAGACCGTGAAGTGTGCTGTTAAACATCAGGCTGACGTAGGATCTGCAGATGGGCACAAGGATGTCAGAAACTCCACACAGGCCTAAAGCTGTTGTAAAGAGAATTAGTGGAGCTCTGGGCGATGTCATGGAAAAGCTGCCAAAAAGAATTCGTCCAAAGAAACTGCCACCACCAATGGCTGAGATCAGTAGAGCGATCTCAGTGGACGTGACATCTGGTAAAGCTGCCACGGCCTGTTCCGGAATGTGCGATCCATATATGAAGAGACTGACGCCACTGAACATGGCTGACAGAAGAAACAAGATGAACAGTGGACGCTGTTTGAACATGGCACGGTCAGGGAAGCAGCAACTCTTTCGGCTTGCCAACACGTCTTTCTTTCCTATAACAATAACAGAAACCACCTCTGTACAATATGTTTCATATTAACAAGTAAAGACAATGTGGAAATTGTAATAGTTATATTGATACTTAACATTCATGTGTGAATGACATGAAACTGAGGGCAGTGATACACGTACCCTTGCTGTGATCTGGCTGCAGGAGGAGGGAGCACACTGTTGAGAGAGATGGCGCCTATCCTCAGCAGCGCGCCACGCCACCCAAAGTTGTCCAGGACGAGACTCCAAACAAGTGGAAAAGCAAGCATTCCAATGGCACCACCAGTCGCCATTAAACACAACGCAAGTGGCAGTCCTTTACCAAACTGGTGACTGATGCAGACAATAGCTGCTAGCTGACACAGAGCTGCACCAATACCTGAAGGAAATAGAGCAAATTGTATGAACAGTTAATTAAAATAGAGCAAATTGTATGAACAGTTAATTAGATTCCCCTGTGAAATGTATATAAAGCCACACCTAATTCAAAAGAATGAGTGAGTTAAGATTTTAAATCACATCGCGAGTATTTCAGCCATATCGTGACTAAATCATTTTATAGAAATATTAATAATTAAAGGTAAATAATAATATTCTGTCAACGAAGGACAGTAAAACAACTAGATTATCACAGATATAAATTTAAAACTAGTAATTAAATCGAAAATATTTTTACTATACATGACAATACAATATAAAAACAGGCTATAGATCGCCAACAACTGAAGGTAGATCACCATAGTAGGAAACTGAGAGCTCTTGATGTTTCTAACAGATGGGAAACTGTAAAACGCCTACCGCAATCTCTATTTGCAAATACATCTCCGCGACGTCACGGAGATGTATTTGCAAATAGAGATTGCGGAGTGTGATCGTCCATACTTCAGGTTTCTCTCGCGATCAAATGATCAGGTCAAACCTCCTACTGTTTATGAATTCTTTCGAGTAGTGTTTGGGATAAACTGCTCACCTTTTCTGGCTCAGTACATCACACAGGAGCACGCCAAAAGCCATGAAACAGACTTGACTATGGCGTCAACGACAGTTGTTAAATCAACTTACATGGACGATAGCATAGATTCTGTTCAAACTGACATTGATGCATTACAACTTTACAACCAGCTGATGAACCTTTGGGGAACAGCAGGTATGCACGCCAGAAAATGGCTGTCAAATTCAAAGAATGTTCTGAATGAAATTCCAGCGGAAAACAGGCTGCAGGAAATTAGCATTTTGACAGATGAGTTGCCATCAGTCAAAACCTTAGGACTGGTCTGGTGTGCTGAAGCTGACGAATTCAACTTTGGTTGTAGTTCAAAAAACAAATTGCTCACAGTGACAAAGAGATCCTTTCTCAGAGAAATTGCCAAGGTTTTTGATCCGTTAGGATTACTAGCACCATTCGTTTTGAGAGCAAAAATCTTACTGCAGCAAATGTGGCTTGCTGGGCTCGGATGGGATGAGAAAATGAATCCTTATCTTGAAGCAAAAACATGGAAGTGGTACAATGAAGTGCAGCTGATTTCTTCTCTCAGATTTCCGAGAAACATAGGATTAAACCAAGCTGCAATTGATCAACAGTTGCATGTATTCGTAGACGCTTCTCAAGAAGCATTTGGCGCAGTCATCTACTGTGTAAGTAACCTCACCAGTCAAAGCAGGTCTAGCACTCTAGTAGCATCAAAAAGCAGAGTTGCTCCGCTCAAAGCAATGAGTATTCCTAGGTTGGAACTGCTTGCAGCTGTTCTTGGTGTACGACTGACACTAATTGTCACAGAGGCTCTTGCTGTTTCTCCAAAATCAGTAAAGTTTTGGTCAGACAGTGAAAATGTCTTATGTTGGATTAAAAATCAAAGCAGAAACTTTAAACCTTTTGTTGCAAACAGAGTTGGGTTCATACAGGACAATACTCACCCAAGTCAGTGGAAATATGTCCCAACCAAGCAGAATGCTGCTGATATTCTCACAAGAGGAGCACATGTTGAAACCTTGAATAGAAAGGAATGGCTTCAAGGTCCAGAGTTTATAAAACAAGATGAGAAAGAGTGGCCAAATCAAAGGAACTTGAAAGTTGATGAAAACTTAGAAAGACGCAAGGAATGTCAGTCAGATATTACAATGGTAACATGTAAAGCTGCTACAGTGATGAACTGGCACTTGGACCCTTCAAGATATTCAGATTGGAGGAGATTGTGCAGAGTTACTGCCTGGATACTTCGGTTCGTTCACAATGTTTCTTCTGGAGAAACTAGGAAATCTGGTGAGCTTGATGCTGATGAAATTCAAGATGCTGAGACACTAGTTCTTTTGAACACTCAAAAGGAAGCATTTACTGAGGAATACGCAGCCTTGACCAAAGGAAAACAGCTTCCTAAATCTAGCAAATGATTGGGTCTACATCCATTTTTAGATGATTCTGGACTGATCAGATCAGGTGGTAGACTCAGATATGCTGAGGATCTTTCCTATGAATCGCGTTTTCCAGTCATACTTCCTAGAGCTCACTGGGTAACAAAGTTGATCGTGAAACAATTCCATGAAGTCTGTTGTCATATGGGAACCAATTACACATTGGCTGCATTGTCAAGTAGGTTTTGGATTATAGCAGCTCGTGAGGAGATTCGTAGTTGGGAACATGAGTGTGCTTGGTGTAGACGACAGAAAACCAAGCCTGCTACACAGATAATGGCAGATTTACCAAGTGTCAGGGTTAGATGTTCCATGAGACCCTTTGCTCAGACAGGTGTAGACTTTGCTGGTCCCTTTCTAACAAAGCAAGGTCGGGGGAAAAGTCGACAGAAACGGTATCTGTGTTTATTCACGTGTCTATCAACTCGAGCGGTACACATGGAGATAGCTTTTGGTTTAGACACAGACTCTTTCCTGAATGCTTTCTCTCGTATGGCACACAGAAGAGGAATGCCGAATGAAGTCATCTCTGAAAACGGCACTAACTTTGTAGGAGCCGTCAAGGAACTTAGACAGCTAATTTCGGAACTTGATGGAGACGATGTAAAAGCTTCTCTACCCAGCAGAAAGGTCGTGTGGAAGTTTAATCCACCACATGCTCCACATTTTGGCGGAACTTTCGAATCTTTGATTATAACAGCCAAAAGAGCAATCTATGCTGATCTTAGTTCTGGTGATATATCAGACGAGGAACTGATGACCGCCTTTGTAGGGGCAGAGGCTTTGTTAAACTCTCGACCTCTGACATATCAGAGCGCACATCCCAGTGATGTTGTGCCTCTTACACCAAACCATTTTCTACATGGTCAATGTGGTGGCCCCTTTGCACCTGAGGAAGACCTACAAGACTTCAATCCTCGTAAACGTTGGAGGCGTGTGCAGGAGCTACTGAGGCATATATGGAAAAGGTGGATGAAAGAGTGGTTACCCACTCTCAATGTCCGCATGAAATGGCAAGCTACAAGTAAGGACTTGAAAATAAATGACGTGATCATTGTTGTTAGTCCTGAATCTCCACGTGGAAGCTGGCTGCTAGGTAGAATCACCAAGATATATCCAAGCAAAGATGGACATATCAGAATAGTGGATGTTCAAGTGGGGAAATCGGTTTTGACTAGACCTATTACCAAGCTTTGTCCACTGGAGTGGTATCCAGAATAGGACGAACGTTGTGTACATTTCAAGTTCAGTACAAGTCTACACAACATTTAGTGTAATTAGATGTAAATATATGTCTCTCTGAAAGACCAGGGTCTTGTCAGCAAAGGGGGATATGTTCTGGAGAGAAAGTTAGTTTCTTTGGTTTTTTGTTATCTGATAGCCAAAACACATCTTTACAAGAACCATGAACGTTGCATCAAAACGCAACCGTAACGCCTCGTGCAGTCACTTTCTGCACGTGCAGAGTCGAGCAGATAGGTTTCTGACGGCTAAGTGAATGGTCGACAATTGTGATCAGTGAGACTCTGGTCGTTAGATTACACAAATAGTTTGCCATATTCGGGCATAGTATAGATACTAAACAATTTAGAATTATAGTTGCGTATCTTCGCAGATAGCTTATTTAGTTCATGTAGTTTAGAAAAAGTATCATATTTAGTTTGGTGGTCGGAGTGGCAAAAGTATCATATTTAGTTTGGTGGTCGGAGTGGCAAGAAGGTTGTTTATTTACCATTTAGTTAAGCACGTTTGTTCACGTTTCACGTTCACAAATTAATTTAGTAATTCCACTGCGTAAACAGGGACAATGGGGACTTAGAGTACATTTGCTTCCTGCATGGACCCTAGCTGGATGTACACCATGCCTTCAACCATTAGCAATTTAGACAAACCTATCCATACATTAAAAAGACACATATTCAACGATTAAAATTGGAAAGTTTTAATTTACTTTGATTGTTGTGCGACTTACGTACCTTCTCAGGAGGACAATGATTTTACAGTACTTTAACCCCCCTCGAGGATACAGCCACTAACAACCTGAGCTACTAGTTTAAACCTCCAATCATAAAATATTTGTCGATTTACAAATCATTCAACAAATCTAATTCTTTACAAAATGAAATAACTAAATTAGAATGGGTATTATTAAAAACATGCTTTATAGTTATCCCTTGAGGTGGAATTAAAAACAGTCAAACACAAAAGAAGTTTTGACTATATCGGTTTACCGAACCTATCCATAATACTAATTCCTTTTGACACGATCAAACAAATACTTATCACTGAAATGAAATAGATTTGTTTAATGAGATGAGCATTGACGTCAAAAGGAACGCCAAATCAATGACGTGAAAATGACTTCAACATGCGTGCAATATAAAATGGATCTAGAACCGTACGCGTAAAGCTAGTTTGACAGCACAGATTACTATAACTGGACACAGAGAACGTGACGCTAGCATGACATCACAGATCACTATAACTGGACACAGAGAACCGTGCCGCTAGCTTGACATCACAGATTACTATAACTGGACACAGAGAACCGTGACGCTAGCTTGACATCACAGATTACTATAACTGGAAACAGAGAACCGTGACGCTAGCTTGACATCACAGATTAGTATGACTGGACACAGAGAACCGTGACGCTAGCTTGACATCACAGATTACTATAACTGGACACAGAGAACCGTGACGCTAGCTTGACATCACAGATTACTATAACTGGACACAGAGAACCGTGACGCTAGCTTGACATCACAGATTACTATAACTGGACACAGAGAACCGTGACGCTAGCTTGACATCACAGATTACTATAACTGGACACAGAGAACCGTGACGCTAGCTTGACATCACAGATTACTATAACTGGACACAGAGAACCGTGACGCTAGCTTGACATCACAGATTACTATGACAGGGCACAGAGAACCGTGACGCTAGCTTGACATCACAGATTACTATAACTGGACACAGAGAACCGTGACGCTAGCTTGACATCACAGATTACTATAACTGGACACAGAGAACCGTGACGCTAGCTTGACATCACAGATTACTATAACTGGACACAGAGAACCGTGACGCTAGCTTGACATCACAGATTACTATAACTGGACACAGAGAACCGTGACGCTAGCTTGACATCACAGATTACTATGACAGGGCACAGAGAACCGTGACGCTAGCTTTACATCACAGATTACTATGACAGGGCACAGAGAACCGTGACGCTAGCTTGACATCACAGATTACTATGACAGGGCACAGAGAACCGTGACGCTAGCTTGACATCACAGAGTACTATGACAGGGCACATACTACGACACATACCTGGCATAACTCCGAGACACAGGTAAAGAAGATACAGGTTCGTAACCATTGCACTCAGGACCATTCCTAGCGTTAAAAGAAGGCCTCCAACGATGCTGGTCAGGCGCCACCCCACGCCCTCTATGAGGTATGAACCTAGAATAGCTAAACATACAAAATTCTCCCTTTGGTTGCGAAAAAATAAAACAAAGTATGTTCACTGTTCATCCTTTCAACGAACAACATATACACAATCAGCAAACAAGCGTTCAAATTTCGTAAGAACTGTATCAGTTTGTATATTTGTATTCACGTACACCTGTTAAATCTATCAGTACATTTGTTAACAAAGCAATTTATGTTCGGGAAACCTATATTTTGTCTATCTGTATAGACAATGGCTGTATGAGACTGAAAGGTGATCCATGGCTATTGAAATCCGAAACCAGGTTTGTTATTGTGAACGCAATGCAAGTTTAAGGTTCAGATTAAATTAGATACAAGAAGTAGTAGTTTCATAGATTAGAAATAATTGATTGAAACAGCTGGAAGTAAAATTATTTAAGAACATTTAAGTACCATTAACGAGAAAAGAAGAAATTTTAATATGTTTATAGTTCGATGAATCTAATTCTATTATCACGTTATTAGTACATGAATACTGTCACCATAGCTAATACGACGATGAAACGTTGTGTGTTGTTGTGGTCCACCATTTCAAGCAGAAGCATCCTCTAGCAAAACAAAATAATAATCAAACTTTGTTACAAAACTCAACGCCTGTTTCAGACGCTGATGGAAGCCCAGAACACACTCTTAGAACCCCCACATGGAGTTTACATGATATGACCAGTATATGTCACTGAACAATAAACACCTGAACATTAAGACATTGTCAAGAAGATGGTTACTATTTGTATGGAATATTTAACATAAAATCAAGCATTAAACCAACGATTAAGAAAGGTTGACGGCACCTTTGGGCAATGCATTACGTAGGTCTCATGATAGGACATTTAGTACATATGATATAAGGCTATCACTTGGAGAAATACACGCAGAGACTGTTAAACAGTGTTGGTCTGAGAGTGTGTGTCTTGGTTCAAGCACATATATATCGCAACAGGACAGAAGTGTGTTGAATGCCTGCATCATGTCTCATGATCTTACCTCCAACACCCAGCATCCCTGCCATTAGAGAGCCAATCCAGGACAATTGATAGTCAGAGAATCCTTCCATTTCCTTCAGGTGGGTGTACACCACGCCGTAGCTGTTTCCAAGCCCCTGGGTGAAAAGGTGGAGGACAAAGCCAGCAAATACCAGCCCCACATCCCGTATTGTTAGGGAAGGGGATCGAGAAGTTGGGTGGTCCTTGGGGGACATGCTGTCGATTGCCTCCTCAACATCGCCAACATGAGTGAAGGATACATTAGTATCCTCGAGTCTATCACTACAGGTTTTGTCATGACCGTGAGAGTGTGAGTTGCTCAGATGTGCCCCAGATATGTCGATCTGGACCTTACTGTCATTTTGGACATCTTTGTCAAGATGGGAACCGGCATCAATAGAAGCATCGTCCACACGAGGCTGACAGCTATAGGAGGAGACTTCTGGTGTCAGTGAGCTTTGCTCAGCGCCTGATGAGAGCGTGATGATGTAGACTGACGTCATCACGTCGTCTTACGGTCTTGACGAAGACTGACGACAAGCTGGGTTCCTCCTAGGTGTTCTGTGAGTGCTTAAAGAACTGCAGTTCATGCTTTGCCTTTTTATACCTTCAGGACAGCTTGGAAAATGGTCTGTTGACTGAAAAGACACGGCAAGATACTATACTCAGCATTCAACAGTTGAGTTACTTAGTGTCGAAGGGTATAATGTATGCGAAGACATGCCGGTGTGTGAGCAGAGATTAATTAACATCATTAAACCCATAAACATGTTTACTGAGAGAGAAATGCGATTAATGTGTAGGATATGCGATGTCACTCTGACAGTTTATGTCAGGTGATAAAGTACCAGGCAAAAGAAGGTAAACATCTATGTTTAATGACGTCTTAAAATCAAACAGACAAGAAGTATATCGTTATTTCGTGGAGAGCTGTGTCTTAGACCTCATGTGTACAGATTCTGTAACTGTTTTCAGCCAATAACATTTTTAAAGCTTTTGTGTTTGCTTTGCCGAATACAATATTTAAATGTATACTTTCTTTTGAACGGAAATTTACTATGTGCGTAATAGAAGCAAACGAGAGAGTGCATTATAACAAGGCCCAGGTTTTCACGTACAAATATCCTTATCAACGTTCATATTAGTGTATTTATTTCTTTTCATTGTATAAAACCCACTATCACATTGTGCAATATAGTGTGTGTTGCCCGTTGTGTGTGTCTAGTGATTTGGTAAGTAGCACAGAACCTTGAACTTGGTAAAGCAAACTTTGTTGTCCTAATGGAGTACCAACTTGTCCACGTTATTTACTACTACAGTTTACATTATGAAAGTAGGTGTATTATAAGCAGTCTATTTCATGTCTATTTACCGTTACATTAGTTAAGCTTATGTAGTGTTTTCGTTGTCCTATATTTGAGTAATGGTCCCACCATATAAATTATAGGACAAACTTGGCAAATACTCATAAAGTAAACATTAACAGGTTTCCAACTAGCAAACATGGGTATTGATACAGGACTGGGGGTCAAGCAGGGACACCTGCCGTGCCCCCACAGGCGTGATGGTAGGGGTCTCAGACTGATGCCTTGTCTCACGCACAGCTCGCTCCGACATCCCAGCTAGAACTGTAGGCAACAAACACAGAATAACCACCACGTTGACTCCTGCTGTCACTGGGAGACCATTAAGGGAGGGATATTTTCACTGTGTATTTCATTGTTTGATCATTTTGACATAACGTATTACAAAGTGGAATTAGGAAGTAAACATACTGTGTTGGAAAATCAGAGGTGTATAGCGAAATTATAATAGCTCTAATTCTTTTTAAATTTAGAGCTATTATAATTTCGTTACATACTTCTGATTTTCCAACACAGTATGTTTATCTCCATTCTAGCGTAACTGTGTTATTATGATTTAAAAAAATACATACTGTGTTGGAAAATCAGAGGTATATAACGTGATTACATACCTCTGAATGACTTTAATTAACCAATCACAATCCAGTATTTACTGAAGTCATGGTAGAATTCATATTTAGACATTGAATATATCGATAATTAAAGGCACAGATTCGTTCAAAGTATTATGTCAGCAGGTTGTTGTAATGTTCGGTATATTTTGTGAACATTTAATTGAAATGTACACGTTAGTAAAACTGGCATTGTATCTTTAATGTGGACTGCAGCGTGCTTGTTGGTCTGTGTATTATTCTGTTGCTCTCTGTATTATCCCGTACACGATATTGTTTGGTCTGTGTATTATTCTGTTGCTCTCTGTATTATCCCCTACACGATATTGTTTGGTCTGTGTATTATTCTGTTGCTCTCTGTATTATCCCCTACACGATATTGTGAACCATGAGCATCAAAGTCCTGTATTAGTGAGAAAGAAAGTATACAGTTGTGTTTATGCCTCAGATTGATTTCCAGTTAAATGTTGTTAAACCAACCTGTACATCAAACACCTTGATTAGAGTAAATAAGAGAGAAACTATACATCTGTGTTACTACTCCCAACCCAACTTTCTACACGGAGCCATATTGTGAGGACCTCCTTGGTTGTGATGTCATTAAAAGCATTTATTGAGGTATTGACATTTCTTTCAAGATAATTATTTGTCATTAACAAGTACTTTGGTGAGTGAATTTAAAAACTGTACGATAATAAAGAAAGTAGGTTAAAACTGATGGTAGTTTCACTTCAAATAGTTTCCTAGCTATAGTTACGAGAAACAATTTCGCTGTTTAAAACGGTTTTTTCCTAGTATTTGTTTAAATTTGTGATACAGCTACCCCAAACATAGTACTCATGAAAAGAACATCTGACAGACTGTCAATCGTTTTTCGAATAACTGTGCTTATCTGTATATTTTAATGTTGATCCATTCGGATTTTGTTTGAGCAAACATAATATAATGGTCTTTACCATTATAACAAGGACCTGTGTTTACCATTATAACAAGGACCTGTGTTTACTATTAAAACAAGGACCTGTGTTTACCATTATAACAAGGACCTGTGTTTACTATTAAAACAAGGACCTGTGTTTACCATTATAACAAGGACCTGTGTTTACCATTAGAACAAGGACCTGTATTTACCATTATAACAAGGACCCGTGTTTACTATTATAACAAGGACCTGTGTTTACTATTAAAACAAGGACCTGTGTTTACCATTATAACAAGGACCTGTGTTTACCATTATAACAAGGACCTGTGTTTACCAATATAACAAGGACCTGTGTTTACCATTATAACAAGGACCTGTGTTAACCATTATAACAAGGCCCTGTGTTTACCATTATAACAAGGATCTGTATTTACCATTATAACAAGGACCTGTGTTTACTATTATAACAAGGACCTGTATTTACCATTATAACAAGGACCTGTGTTTACCATTATAACAAGGACCTGTGTTTACCATATAACATAATTAATGGACTACTATCACAAAATGTAACTGTTACGTCATCCACAAGACCTGATGTAAATACATATAACACTCTACCACCCGACACGAATGCTTTGTTCGGAAGTAAATATTGATTCTGCTGACGACATCCACATGCTGCACTGAAAAGCCTTGAAAAACTGTCGACTACCGGTCGCAGATGATGCAAGCGCTGGCAATCAACTTGTCCGACCCCAAACTGCTCTTTCAGCTCTTTTAATGTTAGGCACCCATGAAGGGCCACCTCCTCGTGGTGGGTGCTGGGTCACGCTAAGCGCCCTTCAACCCCCCGTTGTGGACCCGGGGGGATATTTGGTCCACCAACCCGTTTGCCGTGGGTTGCGCCCCTGTGTCGATGGAGGACGGGAGTCTGGTGGTTGAGGGCACTGGTTCCAGGAACAGTGTTCCTTTGCCCAATACACCACTTCGACCCTTACTTCACCTAGACGGGTGGTAGAATGGGCCCGGTTCTACCAATCGGCTGGTCATGTCGAGCCCTGTGCATTAAATTGTATCTGCACAAAATTTATATTATGTATTACATTTTTGACTTTAGGTCTTGACGCATTTTTGTTTATAAATCATCACTTGATTTTGAAATATGTACTATTAAATTGCCTAGAGTCTTATGCCCAGAAGGCGATGGCTCATGGGCCAATCTGGTAGATTGATTACTTGTCTAATCTTTCTGCTTGATCAGTTGTTGGCGATTTATAGCCCATTTTTACATTGTATTGTCTTCTTTAATTGGAATGTTTTAGCTTTGTTCGCTAGTTTTATATTGATAGCTGTGATTATCTAGTATTTTTACTGTCCTTCGTCGGCAGGTTATTATAATGTACATATATTTCATTCTAATATCGCATGTTCTCGTCACGATATGGCTGAAATATTGCCGATGTGACGTTAAATATTAACTCACTCACTCACTTTCTGCTTGAGTATATCATCCCAGTATCCTTGGTGCTACAAGTCGGACGTCCACTTGTATATAGCACCGTCTTTTATGACACTCCGTGGTGGGTGGGGAGCTGGGTTGACGAATCTTTTATACATTAACATGGAACCTGAAACCCCCCTTCGAAAAAAACGTCAGCTTGATAATGATCAAAGCACAAATGATAGTTATAGACCATTGACGCAGGTAGACTACTGGCCAAGATTTCTAGTGATAGAATCTCCAGACAAAAAGCCAATTAAACTCAATCCGTTTGCTGTATCTAAAGCAGTGTATGGTATTGCAGGAGACGTTAAAAATATCAAGCGAATGAGATCTGGGTCGTTGCTCATTGAATGTAGTAAACGACATCAAGCAGCTAACCTGCAGTCAATTGATACTTTGGCTGGATTCCCTGTTTCAGTGTCAATCCATCGTACACTGAATTCAAGTAAAGGCATAGTCAGGGATCGGGATCATCTTTTGGAGGACATGACGGAGCTTGACATCATGCTTGAACTCAAAGATCAAGGTGTTACGTACGTGAAACGTTTTACGAGGCGTAAGAATTCAGAAGTGATTCCAACAAACACATATTTGTTTTCATTTGTCTCTCCAACGGCACCAAAATCAATCAAAGCCGGGTATTGCAATCTTCAAGTTGAATTGTATATTCCAAATCCATTGAGGTGTTTTAAATGCCAGAAATTTGGTCATGGGATAAATTCTTGTTCAAACCCTATAACTTGTGCTCATTGTGGGGAGCAATCTCATGTCACAGAAGACTGTACAAACAACTTTAAAAAATGTGTCAATTGTTCAGGACAGCATTCCTCCTCATCAAAAGATTGCCCGGTATGGAAGAGGGAAATGGAAGTCAATAAAATAAAACATTCTCAAAACATCAGCTATGCTGAAGCTAAGAAACTTGTTCCATCTGTTTACCCAAGTAACTCTTATGCTTCTGTTATTAAAAGAACACTCACGACCACAGCCTCAGTTGAATGTCAAACAGAGCTGACATGGATAAAATCTTCTACTCCTGAACCCATCCCAAATCAAGACTTGTTGACACGAGGAGAATCTGCTACCCAGACTGCAGACG